TGAAAAGCGTGATTAAGAAGTTATCCTTTTTGTGACATGTTTTTGTATTTTAAGCTAGAAATGATATAATCTTGAAACAAAACGGATTTCCCGTGCTCTGGCCATATTGCAATATATCACGAAACTTTTGCTGCTTGCTCTTTTCATAATCATGACCTCGAGCATCCCCGTTGCGCTCAATGGAGTGGCGGCAAATCCGCTGATAAGCACAAGTTTTTAGGTTAGATTGTTAGGCCGCCTGTCCTTCCCTTCTTTTGATTTCCACAAATCGCCATCCTTTCGTAGAAGTTCCATGACAAGTGCAACACCGCCATGTAAATCACGGTGAGGCTTCCATTATCAGGAAGGGTATCTGCGACGGCGTGTAACAGGTACGCCAGGTTACTTGATCCACTGCCCGGCACCGCTGCCCGCCATTGGTCGCTGGGAGTTGTGGCGTGCTCCTGTAATCCGGCGACTCGGAGGCATGGATTTGTGGATCTCTTGAGGACGGGAGTCCTGCCCTGCGGCGCTCTGTGTCGATCGGGTGTCCGCACTAAGCCTGGCATCAATATGGGGCCCCCGGAGAAGTCCGGGGTCGCCAGGTTGTCTAAGGAGGTGCGTACTGGGCCAGGCGGGCGACCGAGCAGCCAAAAGTACCCGTGTCGGGCAGTAGTGGGATCGCGCCTGAGAACAGGCGTCGTTGGGCAGCCCGTCCAATACAGGGAGACCAAATTCTTTTTCAGGTGTGTCTGGTGTAGAATGTGGTCGGGAGATCACCCAGGTCGAGAAGTTTCAGGGGTGTTAATAGTCATTAAAAATGAATTTGATACCATTTCATCTCCCGTTGTGGATATTGCAAACTTGCCTCCTTTTTGTAATGTATTGTATCATTATAGTACCATTTCCCATACATACACCAATTTCCACGCAAGGCAGCGAATCTAACTCGTCTTATGGCATTTTGTTACATGGAGCTTTCAAGAACTATTTGGTCATGGCCTGGCTGATTTAATCGCTTCAAAATGCCCAAGTGGGTGTTGCGTCGGATTTTTACGTTACCTATTTGATAATATATAATAATTTGATAATAATATCATTTGATGATATATAAAGTAATACGCTACCTATTTGAAACGGATGACCGGCTGCTTTGGGAACCGAGGTTGCGAAAATTACTTGGTGTTGGCAGCGCTATGGGTTCAGATGTTTTAAAAAAAAGTTGTTCGGTAGTCGTTTCAAAAATAAATTCAAGTTCTCATTACTTGCAATTTTTGCCATTCACAACCAACTCTGTTCACACTATTCTTATCGATTATGAAGCAAGATAAGTTTGTTTGTAAAAAAATGTTCAAATTTTAGAAAAGCTTGAGTATTGGACCAGCTGCAAACGGGTGGGCTGCGTGGTCGGCATACCTGATTAAGAAGAAGTAGTGGGTGGGTATGCGGAAAGTAGCGCACTCCGGGAAGGAACACAGTGAGCACGTACTCCCCCCCGCCCCTTCGTCAGGTCCCGAGAGTCCTCAGGGCCTCACGGGACAGACGATTAAAACCCGATTTTTAAGGGCGCCGGAGGAGCGGTCGGAGGTCGTATTTAGGTCTCCCGTCCCGCTGAGCCGGCCACTCAAGACCTTGTTAGATGGGCCCGGTGCGCCGATCGGACCCTGATTCGATGAGGATTTCTATGTCGATCAGGCACCGGCAGTGCTAACAGTGCTCACCGACAGTGCAGGCACCGACAGTGCTCCGCGTCGGTCCGGGCCTGGGGCCCATTTCCCAAGCACGTTCTTTTAGGCAGAGAGGTCGCATTCGTTTGGTTGATGGTGCCCTCCGCAACTTGCAGAACAAGTCCACTTCACTTCATCGTGACGATGCCGGAGAGCTGCTCGGTAGAGACGCCGCCCAGTGCCGCCAGACGCGGGCACTGGAAGATGAAGCCATCGGGTGTTACCGCCCGCCGCGGACCGGAAGTGTGCCAAGTGTGTGAAGTGTGGGTAGCTCGCCATCCATGGCACAGAATCACTCTTGATACCGCTGTCGCTAAGTCCCGGCACGGCCCGGCCGGCGGTGCGCGAGGTTCACACTCAACCAGACAGCACACGTATTTCGGGGGTGGGTTGAGTGATCTTCGCTGTTCATCCCCTTCCCCATGACTCATTTTGCGAAACTATATCCCCGGGAGCCAGTGACGTCATTGGTCAACACGAGAAGTTCACCGACAGGTACCGAGAGTGGAGGATTTTGTATGGTGGATGTGTCATTGTACATAACCACGCACATTATAACTAGTCCTGTCCACACTTAGTTGGATGGTGATCGTTTCATCCTCTCTGCCATTTCAGCCCGCCCCATGAAAACCACCCCAGAGCAAGCCAGCGCACCGATCACGCTGCAACAACGGATGATTTACGTTTCCAGAACAGTGACGTAGGCCTAGCTCATTGTTGCCAGGACACATGAGTTCATTGTGTATTCGCTTGTAAACCGTGCTGCCTGATGAAACCTGTTTGTTGAGGTGACCCGATGCCAGCGTGTAAACTGGCGGTTAGCGAGGTAGCTTGTGCCAGGTTCTGCAGAGGGTCCAATGGAAGGCGTCAATGTGCATGACCGTGCACGGTGCATGAACACCACGGGTACCGAATAGCGGGCTTCCACCAAGGAAGCGTCTTAGTTGCATTCCGGCCAAGATGACGACACAGAAGCGGTCGCGCGCGTGATCACTTTGGAGCACATTAAATGCACGCCTTTTCCAGCAATTTACAGAATTACGGACTCCCGGATACATTACATTTGGTGAGATCTCATGACAGGAACAGGAGAATTTGGTTGAATTGAACGCACCATTTCGCTTTTGTGAAACAACTAAGTTTCGGGAGTCGTGCAACAAATGGAAGCATTCTTTTGACAGGCGACCCACCGAGACATTCTTACTTCTCTCGATGCTAGTGGGGTTAGGTAAGCCGAATCCTAAGTTCTAGTCTTGTATGCGTACAGCATGTTTTCCTCCTTATTGTCATGTTTGTTATTCCTGTGACTCCGTGAATGTCAAACATCATATTTGAGAGCCACTGACCGCCAGCTTGAGGAGATCGTTTCACTTTGTTGTGGTGTGCTTTGCTAAGATAGACAGATGGCGGGACGCAAGGAGATATCCACAACTATATCTTTATAAAGCCCCAAAAGCTGCGGTATCTGGCATGGAAACCGACTAGTTCATGGTTTGTTTTGTTCGCCACATGCTTCACATACGACGTCATAACTGATGACGTCACACAGAGACGAGAAGGGCTCGGATTGGCGGCTGGGACGTCATGCAGCAGTCCTTACGATCTCAGGTTAACACCTAACACCGCGCTAGACCACGGTACAACAATGTCCAACCAGCCTCATAGTGGAGAGACAGTGCTTTCACAACGCCAGAGGACAGCCAAGTACACCGGTTAATCATGGGGAATAACAGCTGTCGGAGACAGGGCTCAGACGGTGAGGGTCGCCGGTTTGCTAAATCCGGATCAACTGCTAAATCCTAAAATGTATTGTAGCAAACAGTTCGGGATGGTCGCTCTGTCGGTGCACGGTGGGCTCAAGCGGCGAGGGTCAACGAACGTCACTGGTCCTGTGACGTCTTCCGTGGGATGATGTAACGGGTCGATTCTGACCTGTTGAGAAAAGAAAGAAAAAAAAGGCAGGGAGAGAGGGAGAGAGGGGGAGAGAGAGAAAGAGAGAGAGGGAGAGAGAGAGAGAGAGAGAGAGAGAGAGAGAGAGAGAGAGAGAGAGAGAGAGAGAGAGAGAGAGAGAGACAGAGAGAGACAGAGGAGAGACAGAGAGGAGAGAGAGCGAGAGAGAGAGAGAGAGAGAGGATAGAGAGAGAGAGAGAGGAGAGAGAGAGAGAGAGAGAGAGAGAGAGAGAGAGAGAGAGAGAGAGAGAGAGAGAGAGAGAGAGATGAGAGGATGAGAGAGAGAGAGATGAGACGAGGAGAGGAGAGAGGAGTGAGGAGAGGACGAGAGAGAGAGAGAGAGAGGGGGGGGGGGGAGGGGGAGGGCGCTGCGGGAGGCTGAGGGCATGCATGCGGGGCTGAACCGGTATCAATGACTCTCTGGCTCCTGTACCGTCCTGCCCGCATGCCGCGTTACCCCGAGGCCCAACGCATGTTTTGTTGGTGTAGGACAGCCGGCCAGTTCGAGGGTCATTGACAGGACAAAAACCTGACAACCTATGAGGTCGTGAGTGGTTTGATAAATACAACACAGGCCTTCAGCTCTTGATTTCTCGGCATTATGACTCTGTAGGTCTTGCGGCGAGTCACCAAACCCCGTACACAATTGAGTACCGGTTACACGACATCAAAGAGCAAATGTTCGTTGCACTGCAGTTTTTACGCCGATGGAGTGCTTGTCAATGAAGCCAATGCTTGTTCTACAACGTGATTTAACTAATATGTCTTTGTATACTGAAGATCGATAACTCAGCATGAAAACCCTGAACTCATCACAGGAGGTTTTGCTAGCAGGCACTAGCTTCCGCCTAAGATGCTAGGTGCTCCATTTGATAGAAATACGATATGTTTCTTTAGGGTAGTATCTTAAGATGCATTTAAGATATTATTCCGCCGTTTCGGCGTAAGATACTGAGCCGGTCCATTTAACATAACGTACCTGAAATTAAGATTTGTCCCCGGATTTCGGCTACTTTTATTTGCTTTCCTGTTGTCAAAGTAAGGAATGTTTTTTCACAGCCGGTCAATCCTAAAATTATTTTGTAGATGAGAAATGGCTTCCAGTTTTAACCCGATAGAAACCTACGTCTTCGTGAAAACTCAGAATTTTGTGTACTTCATACAATTAAAAAATAGTAAACCATCCGGCTTTCATCAGAGAAATTAATTGCCGTTTTTCCTTAATCAATGGTGGCCCGAGAAGCCAACGCACGATTTTTGACAAAAGCACGGGGACTGCAAAGTTCGTGTACACTGCCAAGATGTTCCTACCTAAAAAACGAAAACCCTCAATACGCAGCAGATTTTGAGATGCGACTACCGTGAAAAAGATCAGCCTAAAATTGAACACTTTTCGGCCTATATTGCCGCTCACATGCTCGGCTGGGCACTTTTCTATGTATCAATATCAATAACGTCATCAGTGTATTGGAAACCATCCACAAGGCTGCTATTACGGTTTTCTGATCATGGTCATGTTTCAAATTGCATACTAAAATGTGCACGATAAAAAGGCGCACTCTAAAAGCATACCGTAACATTATGCGAACAAAAGTCAGAGTTCAAAGAGATCTATTTATGCACTTTGGGTCGGATCAGATCAGTAGTCAGTGGTCAGAATCACATCACGTACGGGGGTCTTAAACGCGCTTAGTGTTCTGTCTGGCATGACGGGTAAATGGCAGGCGGTTCCAAGCAGCTGCGACCCGATGCGAAAACGCCCTTTGTGCGACGGTTAGTGAGCGTCCGCGTAGGTGCAGGCTCCGTCTGTCCGAGGCGCAAGTTTTAAGTAAATCTTTTGGCAAATAACGTTATCCTGCGTTATAACGTGAAACGAGCGTTTTTTCGACCCCAAGGCTGATGCCGACGCCAAGAAAACCAAACGCTAAAAGTGATTTCAATTCCGTGAACGATAAACGCTTTTGCCTGTTTTGCCTTCAGATCATGTTTGCATGGGTTTGCACGTTGCACACGTTATGTTGTGCGAAAGGCATGCTTCGCTTATGTGAAATGCACTCTTCCTTCTTCTGCTTGATGCTCTGCCTGTGCTCCTTCTACTACTTTGTGCTCTCGTTTATAAAAAGCCTCAAGGTTTTCATTTAACCTCTGTGTGTACGTACCTCAGCCTAAAGCGAGTTTTTTTTTGTCGTGCGCGGCTGTCCTCGACACAGGTGCTCTCTTCCAGGCTTTCCCAACGGACATGCATCACCCCTATGCCGGCCCGTGACGTCACTGGTGTAAACAATATTTAAGGATCAGTGGAGGCAGAGCCCGTCACATTGCCGCAGCGGCCACCGTCTGGCAGTTCGAACATGAATACCGCTGTGGTGCCCCTGGTGGTTTTGGTGGCCTTCCTGGCCACATCGGCGCTTGCTGCATGGCGTGAGTATTCTATAGAACAGCCGCTCTTGTTTTTGAAAGGAGGAATGGGACTTAATAAAAGCCCTCGCCCAAAAACCGAAGCACGTGTTTGCCTTTCCGCCCGATTTTTTAGACCACGTGACCCTTTTTTCATGTTTTATACCCAGCATGCCCCTGATATTTCCATGAGGCTTTCGTGCCGTGCCGTGCCTTGGAGATTATGCTTGAAATCTTTGGCGCCCTCCCGATGTTTTACAAACAACAAAATTTTGACATTACATCAGCTTCAGAGTGACCGTTTCGGCAGCATAGACTTTGGTGATGTGGGGCGCTGGTATACATGTCATGGACAGAGCCAATTTCTCTTTTAAGTGCCAGTTTCTACAACTCCAGGGCAACAGCGGCCATACGGAAAAGAAGGCTTGTTTTGTTAAGGACGGCTAAGTGTGCTTTATGGTGGATGGGGTTTATTAACTGTCTCATCTTCACGAGACTTCCGAAGGTGGTCTGTGCAGACATCGGTACTGAATTGCGTCTGACAGGTTTTTTTGTGGAAAGCCGCCTCAGTCCCGACCGTATCAGCTTCCGTGTCGGGCCCGCTGAACCTGCGTCATATTTGACTTGAACGCATTGCGTATTGGATTTTCCATCCCATGCTTGCCAGTACCGAGACGGTGGTGTTACTGCAGGATGCACACTATATGCAGCACCGGCAGACATCCTGTTTCTAATCGAGAAAAGCAATGATTTAGAATTTTGCATGTCATCGCATTTTGGCCGCTGTTAGCCGCTAACACCAATGCTGTTGACATCGGTTTGCTGATGTAGTGCATTTTTGTTGTACATTTCGTAGCAACTTGGTACCTCGTTACTGATCATTTACTTATCAACCTTAGTTGGTGCACCATTACTTTTAATCAAATCACGGTGTCATTGATCTCAGTTAATACTATGTATAGTGCTAGTAGTATCAAATCATGATACTAAACCTGTGTTACTATTAAGCTGCTAATACTCATTATTAACCGAAGTGATTAGTCGTTGTTGATCATTCCGCGTCGGCTCAGCTCGAGACGAGCCTCTGAGTTCACACGGCGCCTGGTCGTTCTGCCATTTGCTATATATGTTCGTCACTTACACATTTCTTGTTTAAATACTCTGCACACACACTCTGCAGGCAGCCAAAGGCACATTTATACTTTCATGTCTTGACTACTTCTATATCGCCTGGATTTTACACGTGCGTTCAAGCGTGAGGCTGTGAGCGCCTCGAAATGAAATCTCCACCTCCGCAGCGTCACCTATAACGCAGATACCACGTCCGCAGCGACACCTATAACGCAGTTATCACGTTCGCAGCGCCATCTGACCCGACCAATCCTGCCGAGTGCGTCGCCGCGGGAGGCGAGTGCGCTGCCAGCAACGACTGCCCCGACTGGCAGCAGCCATTCAAGGGCATCTGCGGCGCAGGCCGCGAGTGCTGCTTCAAAGGTAACTTGCAATTAGTTAACTGTACTAACTAACTTCATGCAACTTTATAACGAACAGAAACTGACCAATAGCATGCGAATAGGATATGTTGTACAACACAACATATGGTGACTAACATATCGTAACTAACATCTTGTAACTGATCATAATCTACTGATAGCGGATTCAATCTCATTTAACACGGGTGATGTTTGTAATTTTAGTGGCATATCAGTAATTTGGGTCCTGTCCTTGTGTGGAAATGCTGCGAAAAATGTCACGCTCACCTAACTTGCAAGAACCTATAGGCAGTGGCCAATGGTAATTCAAGTGCAATTCTTGCGACATCAGTCTGACAAGCGTTTGCTGTTGTGGTGCTTGTTCTACTAAAACTGAGCCGTAACTGATATCACCTTACAAATAAGGCAGAATAGGTTCTGAAAGAACCGCAATCATCTTGTATTGTAAGTCAAAACCAAAGCGCCGTTTGCCGCTGAGATGTTGTGTTCTGGTCAAGTGTCGTCATCATCACTTCAGAGCGAGCGACAGCCTTCAGCAGCATAACGCCACGCCCGCACTGACCACAAATCCCCGCTCCCATGGTTAGCTCCGTGGCGTTCAAAATCTCACCTCATCGTTTCTTCTTCAGACTTAAGTAACCACAGGCTACGGTGTGATTTGTTCGGCGGCGAATGTACTTTGGCGGGTAAGTGCGGCAACGGACCTCAGCACAAGAACGCCTACTGCCCGAAGAAGAGCCAGGTCTGCTGTGTCTGGGTTTTCTGAAGAGACTAGAGCGACACACAGCGTGGCCTGCGCGGGATCTGGAGAGCAGCTGGCGATGATCTGGGGTATTTTGGAGAAGATCTGAAATCTGGAGTTGTGCCGGACGAAATCTGAAGAGAATTTGATGGTGATCTTAACTCTGGTAGTTGTCTGCAAGTGGACTGGAAATTATTTGGGGGTGATCGTATTAGCTGCGAACTTCTAGTGCCAGCTGAAGCTTGGTCCTGAAATTATATTCAAATCGTGCAGATATGATCGTGGCTTGAGATAAAGGCATCCTGGAGATGTTTCAAATATGATCTGAGCCATTTTATTTAGCGAAAATCCCCTGTGAAAAAACTATACCTTAAGCCGATGTTGCTATACATCCAGCGTGACGATCGCTGTAATGTTGTGTTGTTATGTTTTGGTCTGGCCTGGCCTCCCGTCGCATGGGGGCGCAGTTGTCTGTTGTGTGCACTTTCTAAAGGGCATTGCTGTAGTGAAGAAAGTAGACCACTCTTGGTTTTTAGTCTGCTGTTATGATCTGTGACAATCTTCATCGGTGCCGAACGCGAACGAAGCTGTGCTTGCAGGCACCGGAGTGGTTCCTGTGGACTTTTTGATACATTTGCACGAACGCAAAATATACTTGGCACGGAATCGCGTGTGTTTTGTGCGCAGCGATGAAAACACATATAACCGATTGCAAACATGTAGGAACCATTTATTGCGAATGTGTGCATGCCACTCTGCGATACATGAGCGCGCTGTTGCTAAACACACCGGATTTTTTGGGAGTTGGAGACAGCTTTCACAACGCACCGTAAATATCCCGGCGGTGCGTCTTTCCCATGCAAATAGTGGGCCTGTCGGTAATGCCCGGCTGCATTGGGTGGCCGAGTTGTACCCAGGGTCAAACGACCTCAGGCACTTCCAGCAACAGTACAGCAATGGCGTGTTCGATTACCACCCTCACCCCCTGCTGTGTTATCCCGACGTGGCATCAGGTGAAGCCGGCAAAAGCCGGTGAATGATCATGACTGAAGGGCATTTGTAGAAGTCGCCATCGTATACTTACCCTCTAACGGCGAAGGCACATAACGTTTTAACGCAGATATCTTTTACGTAACGTTGGGTCGTCGTGTGAAAGAGCAGACGGGAGATGAATACTTCGTGTTTTTGCGTCTTGCTGACGCCAGCTCAACGAATGGAGGGGCAATGGAGAGCTTGGCAATCTCAGAAACGGCAAACATCTTTAATTTGACTGATGCAATCGGATCAATGATTTCAAGTATCAAATCAACCATAATGTGTTGGAACAAGAAGTCCAGAATGTGATCACGAACATGTGGCAAAGCCAGTTGGGCAATGCTGAAGCCATTGGGGTAACACGAGTATTGCATAAACATCATCAGCATTCCAATCACACAGTCTCAATGTCTAGCAACCAATGCACGCTGCTCTGCTAAGGACCCTCCAAAATGCAGGAGGCTTAGCCCAAATATTTCGATGGATCGTATGTAGTATACGGATAAAAAACTTTAGTGTCAATTAATTTTAACCTTCTCATATAAAAAGGTCAGCTGTTTTCAGAATAATCTCAGAATAATTTTCAGGATCTCCTTTTAGGAAAAAAACCTTCAATAAACAGCAGATTATGAACTGTAACTACTGTGAAAAAGATGTGTAGCTAAAATGCCTCACATGTTTGCTGATAATGCCGCTTACTTGTGCGGCACCTCACTCTTTTTCAATATCAATAACCAGATGCTGGAAACCATCAACAAGGTGACCATCACGGTTTCAGATAGTGGTTATCTTTCATATTACATACAAAAAAATGCAGCATAACAAGGCACGCCCTAAAAGAATGCCACACAACTATACGAGCAGTGGTCAAGGAGTGCAGAAGAGATCTATCTACGCTTCATTGGTCGGATCAGCTCAGTTGTCAATGGTCAAAATCACATCACGTATGACGGTCTTGCACGCGCTCATCGTTGCGGCGTGACAGACGCACAATGGCAGGCGGTTCCCATCAGGTGCGGCCCGATGCGAAAACATCCTTTGTGTGGCGGTCAGTGGGTGTCTGCGTCGGCCCAAGGTCCTTCCGTACGAGGCGCACGCTAAAAGCAGGAATATTGGTGGGCAACGTTATTCTAGCACTATATCTCTCCTAAGGCTCGTGCTATATGTCACGCAAGCCCATCCCTAATAGGGATTTCAGTTCCATGAATAATTCACATTTTCGCCTTTCGCGCCTCCGGATGATGTCTACATAGGCTTAAGCGTTGCATGCGTGGTGTTGTGCGAAACGCACGCTTCGCCTATGCGAAATAGGCTCTTCCTGTTCCTGCTTTGTGCTCAGCCCTAGAGTTTTTCATCAACGTTAAGATTATTTAACCTCTGTGTGTACATAACGCGACCCAAAACGAGTTTATTTGTTGTTTTTCGTCGCGCGTGGCTGTCCTCACCACGGGTGCGCTGTTCCGGGCTTTTCCAACTGGCATGCGTCACTCCTATGCCGACCGGTGACGTCACTGGTGGAAACACTATTTCAAGGTTAGTGGAGGCAGAGCCCGTCGCATTGCCGTAGCGGCCGCCGTCTGGCAGTTCGAACATGAATACGGCTGCGGTGCCCCTGGTGGCTTTGGTGGCCTTCCTGGCCACACCGGCGCTTGCTGGATGGCGTGAGTATTTTTAAGGGCTGTTGCTCTTGTTTTTGAAAGGAGGAGTGAATGCCCAATAGTTACTTTTAACCGAAAACCGAAGCACGTGTTTGCCTTTCTGTCCGGTTTTTTTAGACCACTTGGCCTCATTTTCATGTTTTATACCCAGCATGCTCCTGACATTTCCATGGGGCTTTCGTGCCGTGCCGTGCCGTGGAGATTATGCTTAAAATCTTCTGCCCCCTCCTGACCTTGTACAAACATCACAATTTGAGCTTTCCATCAGCTGAGAGCGACCGTCTCGGCAGAATACATTTTTGGATACGAGACACTGGTACGAATGTCACGGACAAAGTCAATTTCTCTTTTAAGCGTCAGTTTCTGCAAGTTCACGGTAGCAGTGGCCAGATGGAAAAAGGGTTGTTTTGTTAAGGGCGGCTAAGTGTTCTATATTATGGATGGGGTTAGTTAATTTTCTCCTCTTGGTAGGAGTGCGAAGGTGGTCTGTGCAAAAATCGTTTATTGCGTCTGACAGGTTTTTTGTAGAAAGCCGCCTCAGTCCGACCGCATCAGCTTCCGTGTCGGACCACCTGAAGCTGAGTCATATTTGACTTGAGCGCATTACGTATGGGATTTTCGATCCCCATGCTTGCTAGTACCGAGACGGTGGTCTTACTGCAGATGCACACTATATGCAGCACCGGCAGACATCCTGTTTGTAATCGAAAAAAGCAATGATTTATAATTTTGCGTTTCATCGCATTTTGGCTGCTCTTGGCCGAGAAAACCAATGCTGCTGCATTAATCTTTTGATGAAATGCACATTTGCTGCACATTTTCGGGCAACTGGTTATATCATTATGATCATTTACCTATTAGCCCTAGTTGATGAGCCATTACTTTTAATCAAATCACGGTGTGATCAGTCTTAATTGATGATATTTAAGTATGATGTTAGCAGTACTCAATTTTCGGACTAAGCTCATGTCATAATCAAACTGGTAATGATTATGAGTTATGAAATGACTAACTGTTATTGATCATTCCTTCTCGGCTGAGCTGGACGTGAGCCTCTAAGTTCACACGGCGCCGGTCATTCTGCCATTCGTTATATATGTTCGCCACTTACACATTTCTTGTTTAAATACCCCACAGGCCTAAACGAAACATCCCACTTTCATGTCTTGAGTTTTATATCGCCTTTATTCTGCACGTGAGTTCAAGGTTACAGTCGCGAGGGCACCAAAACAAAATCTCCGCCACCGCAGCGTCACCTATAACACAGTCATCACGTTTGCAGCGCCATCTGATCCAACCAATCCTATCGAATGCGTCGCCGCGGGAGGCGAGTGTACTGCCAGCAACGGCTGTCCCGACTGGCAGCAGCCATTCAAGGGCATCTGCGGCGCAGGCCGCGAGTGCTGCTTCAAAGGTAACTTGCAATTAACTAACTTCACCATATAAAGTTATGCAACTTAGTAACGATAAGGAACTAATCCAAAAGCATGCAAAATGTTCAACTTGTACAACGCATCTAGTCGCTATCACATTGTGCCTAACATTTTGCAACTGCCTGCGATCTACTGGCGGTAGATTCAATATCACATAACAGCGGGATGTCTCTGTGTGGCATATCAGTAACTTATGCTTTGTCCTTGTGTGAAAATGTAGCGAAAAATGTCACGCTCAGCCTAGCTTGCGAGAACCAACATGAGTATGTCATTTATCAAACTTACCTCAGTGCTATCGAGCTATGCACTTGTTGTTAGCATGAAACATCATGTTTTATATGACCTGTATTTGCCTTTTTATTCAGCTATGTGCAGTGGCCAATGGAAATTCAAGTACAATTCTTGTATCATCCGTCTGGCATGCGTTTGCTGATGTAGTGCTTGTTCTACTTAAAGCGAGCCGCAACCAATATCACCTTGCAAATAAGATAGAATATATTCTGAGCGAACAGCCACCATCTTGTGTTGTAAGTCAACGCCAAAGCGTCATTTGCCGCTGACATGTTGTGATCTGGTTAATGGTCATCACCATCACTTCAGAGCGGGAGACAGCCTTTACCAGCATAACGCCACGCCCGCACTGACCACAAATCTCCTCATCCCATAGTCAGCTCCATGGCGTTCAAAATCTGACGTCATTGTTTCTTCTTCAGACTATCAAAACCACAAGTTAAAGTGTGGTCAATTCGGGGGCGATTGTACTCGGCCGCGCAGTTGTGGCAATGCACCTCAGCACAAGAACGCCTTCTGCCCGAAGAAAGGCCAGGTCTGCTGCATCTGGCTCTTCTGAAGAGGCCGGAGCGAGGCACAGCGTGACCTGCGCGGGATCTGGAGAGAAGCTGGCGATGATCTGGGGTATTTTGAGAATATCTGAATCCTGAAGTTGTGCCGGACGTTATCTGAAGGGAATTTAATGGTGATGAGAGCGTTGGTGATTGTCTGCAAGTAGACTGGACATAATTTGGGGCGATGGTATTGTGTGCCAACTTCGGATACCAACTGGAAAGAAAGTGAGCTGGAACTTATTTGAAGTGTTATAGATATGATCATGGGGTGTTGGGAAGGCATTCTGGAGATGTTTCAAATAAGATCTGAGCCAATTTATGCTTGGCGAAACCTACCCGGACGAATAGAAATTGCACCCTAAATGGACATCGTTATATAGCCAGTGATATAACCGCTGTAATATCGGAGTTTTATGCTTTGGCCGAGCTTAGGCACGTACCACATGGTGTCGCAGTTATTCGGAAGTGTGCACTTTCTAAAGGGCGCTGCTATAACGAAAAATGTATAATACGCCTGGTTTTTAACCTGGTATTATGACCTATGACTATCTTTATTGGTGTCGAACGCGAGCAAAGTTGTGCTTGCATGCATTGGAGTGGTTCCTTTGAGCTTTTCTGTGCACTTGCACTAACATGAGATATTCTTTGCGTCGAATCGCGTGTTTTTTTGTTGTTGTACAGAGAGACGAGAACACCCTGAACCAATTGCAAACACCTGAAAGCCGACTGTCGGTATGCCAATCCGCCGTAACCCTCTTATGAGCGCGCCGTTAGCAGACACGCTGGATTTATTGGGAGTTGGAGAAAGCTTCGGCAACGAACCGTTAATAATGCGGCGGGGCATCGTTAAGCTGAAGAGTTTGACCTTTAAGTTGACCTGACACCTTACGTGTCAGGTCAACCTGAATGCTCTGGAACAAGAAATCGGATCACAAATATGCGGCAAGGCAGCTTGGGCGTTCACTAGTGCTCAGCTTAACCCGATCCCAACATATATATATATATATATATATATATATATATATGTATATATATATATATATATATATATATATATGTGTGTGTGTGTATATATACATATATAAATATTTATGGATGCCATTAAAGAGAACGTCATTCTGTTCATCGTTACATGCGGTGTTCAGTAGGCTGATAAAGCCACATGCCATGCACTCATGATGGGCACCTTACCTCCAAACAGTAGCCACGTTCTAGCCCAAATCATCACTATGGCTTCACCGGCGTACGTTGCTTCCTGGCTTGCAGGCGTGACCCTCGTAACCACAGCAACGCTCAAAGGTCACGGATGACAGGACGGACGCTCGGGCTGGACCGGAGCCTTTGACAAGCTGTCAAAGGTCACGTGACGGATGTGTGACCTTTAGCCGACAGCCCACTCCACGCGACACGTGAACCGCTCAGCGCCGCTGCCGAATGACGCAACCAGGGGGAGCATCATGCCCGCAGAATCGTGTGCTCACTGCGAACTCGCGCGCCCGACAAATACCAGTGACGTCAAGCATGAAGCGGGAAATTAGCTGTCGATCGACTCACACTGGTGGACATTCTGCCTCCCGCGCGCGGTTGTCGGAACACCTGCGGCTTCTTTGCAGTTGTTTCACGCAGAATCGTATTTATAATGTAATCGAATTTATTTCATGTAATTTATTTTATTAATTTATTTTGTTAATTTATTTTATTAATTTATTTTATTAATTTATTTTATGTAATTGAATTTAAATTTTGGCAACCGGACTAAAATCACGGCACTTGTTCCACATCCCAACCCCACCACACCCTAGCCCCACCCCGCAAGCCGGTGCGGCACGGGTGAATAATCAGGAACCGAATAAGATCTGCTCGGATATGGCCGCAGCGGTGCTGCCAAACAACAAAACTAGGCTGCGCAGAAATACACGTTGTTCAGACATGATATAAAAAATATACAAATGCATGGCAAACGCTAGCAATGAATAGTATAAAAATATATAAATAAATAACAAATAGAATAAAATAGTGTCAATAAATATGTAAATAAATAACAAATACATGGAGTTAGATTTGCTGCGCGTGGCTTTGCATTTATTTCTGATGTCATCGGGCTTGAACGCGGCTTCAGGATGACCTGAAGACGTTCTGAAGGTAATCTCGAATCTGGTATGAATTTCAGCGGGTTTATGAAGGCTGTGAGATGATATGGAGATGACCCAGAGACCACCAAGCTCCGGGCCAGACCTGGGAATGATATGGACCTACGATAAATTTGAATTTGATCTATGAGATTGTGTTCGATTTCTGGTATGCTGGCTCATGTTGCAGCCGACTGTTGTGGATCATTGCGGCTAGGTACGGACAATGTGGAGCAAAATGCAATGTTAAAACTGATAACTTGATGAACACGTTTGACCAGATGGCTTTGAAAGGCAGACGAGGCCGTCATTTCATGAGTTGCGTCAGCGAATTTGGAGGAAAAGTTAAGATTTGTTCATGACGCATATGCGAACCTTCACCACACATGGTTGGGGAGCTGAGATGCGCTGGAGCTGAGGGAGCTGAGATGTTGACACTCTTAGTTGAGGTCGCATCAGCTGTTCTACAACACATTGCCCCTGTATTTCGGGTACGCGGATAGAGTGACATGGCCACCTGCATTATCTGGGCTGGGCTAGAGACATAGCATGTTCTGTCCGCTCGTTATACGCAACAGCACAATGCCTTGTTTAATTTCAAAAACATTTTTATACGACGAGATATTGTGGTCGCAGATACGTGCGGGGAGACCTATGCAGCCAGTGACTTCCAGTAGCACCGCCTCACGAGCCGCACACGTCTGCAGGAATCCGGCTCCCGCTCGAGCGGCGGAACGAAAAGAAGCTGCCTATGTCAAGTCTGCGAGGACCACATGTGTCACACATCGGAGCATTGGATGGCGCAGACTGCGGATGTCGTGATGCTATGACACTAATAGACGATTTCAGGTATCTTAGGGTGAGTTAAGTCCGTTAAGGTCCTCTATGTTAAGCCCGCTTCAAATCACGGAAAATAAACGGCAGCGTTATTTTGTTTCAACGATTCCTTGTAGTTAGTTTTATTGTATGTACATCATCATTCCGGAGGAAACCACGGTTCCTGTGCGACACTATTCGTTTAAGTAGATAGACATCGATTGCATTAATTCGAGCATTTACATGACGTTAATTGACAGCGATTACAGCGGCATGATGATGTATGGGTAAGAAGCATAACCTTAATAAAGCTATTTGCTAAAATCACAAAAGAATGCTGTAAAATGCGAACGCATTCTGCACGCAACAAACTCAGGTGTGTATCACCAACTTATAGGATAATGACGGTTAAGAGTATCAATAAAAAAGCCACTGGATCACGGGGTGATACTCTCCCGAAAGACGACGATAACAATATGATTATGGTAAACGGTACTCCTTTGATATAAACCGCGAAACCTGGAAAAGCATAAACGGTCGCACCGGGAAAGAAACAACGCAACTGTACATGTACCGCACGGCATCCCATCCCATCCCATACCCATCCAGGTATACACTATCGATCTTTCGCTGTCCCGTCACTGTTGGTGTGCGCCGCGTTTGAACTTCGCTGGCTGCCAGATCAGTGCATCCTCATTGATCGAACGACACGCATGGGGCACTGAACTGCCTTCGACGCATCGTCATGGTCCGCCCAACTCCACGAGCTCATGGGGTGTCCTAGTCGGAGCGCGCGCGGCATACGAAATTACACAGTCGTTCTTGCACACGTAGCAAATTTCTTCTCCCACTCACGGTCATCGATTTACGGACCAAGTGCGCAAGAACCGATTGGGCTCCAGCGAGTCCAAGAACTCCTCTCCGCGGGCGTCCGAACTGTTGGTTCGCAGGTGGGCGGTAGATGGCGGTGGGTGACCTTGGGGGTTTAGCGAATCCGGGTAAGGCGTGTCATCTGGAGCCCGCGGCGGAGGACGGCGCCAACCGCCCTGGTCGCAGCCTGAAACTGAGGAACACGACAAATCAACTTAACTCCCTTTCCCTGTGACATATCTGAGCACCTATACGCGCAAGCCTCGTTCATGTCGAAACAGACGTCTCCTGGACCAGAGCCTGCCTACAAATAATGCAAAACGTTTCTGTACACGTGTTCCATGCTGCCTCTGAGGCCTGCGAGGTCGAATCTTTACTGGTTTTTCGCTTGCGGATTGATATGGGCTACAGATACATTTTCCATCATCATCATGTCCGATAGCGAAGGTCCGACTCGATCTTGCCGTTTTTTCGCTTGCGGATTGATATGGGCTACAGATACATTTTCCAGTATCATCATGTCCGATAGCGAGCTCCAAAAGTGCAGCAAATCACAAAGTGATGACGCCACAGGCGCGACATATCACGGGATAAAATGTTCACCGGAACGACTTACCTTCACCAACACATCCGCCACTCGTGAGGCCTTGGCCATTCTCGCCCTCTAGCCATCAGCCATCACACAGTCATCAGTCCCTTTCGAATATTATCCGTCTGTTCACTTTTCCCGATGCTTTGGATTAATTTGTTAAGGTTTAACAAACTGAGACACGGACTCGCTGTTTGTGTTTTGACAATGGCAAATGGGCTCGTCCCAGGGATAAAGGTCTCTGCTCATGGAGGGATAAGAGTGCAGTTATTATACATCTATGGAAACAACACATGCTGCTATTTTGGGTGAATATTGTTATGGCTTCCTTTGTTGCGTTTGAAGTCGATACCTTTTTAGTCCCACTTAATCTCACCAATACTGATTCAAGGTACCATGCTTTGTTTCCTGTTCGTGCCATATTTATCCTAGGCAGAGTAATGCAGCAAATAACTGGCATGTTAAGGGTGCGATAACCCACATCTACTATTCAAAAACCCCAGCTCGTTAGTTTCTCTACAAGAATGGTAGGTAAGTGGGCAAAAGCCTTAAGTATGGAGCACCTTCGAAACAGTGCCTTTTAGAGCCCGAGCCCGGAGCGGAGCCCGACTTTTTGTACTTTTCACTTATTGTTAGATGAGTCGCATGCGACTTGATCACTACTGTCAGTTTACTCGAGATCCTTCTGAATAGATCAGAATGTGTATTATTTCAAGTTACCACCTATGCAGGCGAAATTTCGTTTAACTCTTGCTCACCAATATGACAGAATTACATTTCATTTGCCTTGTTTCTTCCAACGTGTGTGTTCCGTAATGTTTGCAACGAACTAATGTGTCGAAATGTTTGGTAATAATTGCCACGAAAACTTGAAACACTCTGTTTAGACAAAATAATGTTCGAACATGGAGCCTTCATCCCGCAACTTCAAACTCGCCTGTGTCATATGCTACAGTGGCTCTTTTCGAGGCGCACTTTGGCTGTGAGAATGAGAGCATCACATCGTTCATAGTGACGCACTGACCCGATTTTAAACCAGTGCGCTTCTCGGTAACAGGCCCTCGACGCCCGCTGGGCCAATCAAACACGTTCTTTCATTCGCACCAGTAGAGGTGCGCAAGAGGGATGTCACAACGACGGTGGTTGCGACTGCAGTGAAGAAGCGTATTGATGTTGCAAAACGTTAACAGCGTACTTTGAACTCGAAAATTATCAAAATTGATACACTCATTACGGCTGGACAGCGCTGCAGTGGCACTACCCAGTGCTATTCTAGGACATAAATGGTTTCGAGGCTTCACTAGAACATGCTTTTAGAACATGCCGCAATGGCGGGACACTCCCTTTAACACTTTTAAGTCATTACATGTGTTTACAGTCTTTCGTTATCTTAGTCGAGTGATACCGAGCACAACACTTCAAATGATTTCTTACCCCTTTACGTGGTCAATCTGCGGCATATCCGACGGCGACTCGCTGCAGAAGCTCATGGTGGCCACGCCCACTTCGGTTCCATCTCCCAAACTATTGGTCACCGACTGACGGCGAACGTTGGGGCCGACCAATGGGCGCTCAGGGTTGAGCACCGCCGCGAGCTGATTGGCCGCTCGGCTGCCAGCCGGGTAGTTGAGGCTACCGTAGCGCTTATGCGAGCTGGGCTGGGCGGGGCTAGGGTCAGCGCGCCTGCGCACCAGCGTCTGCGACAGCTGTTTGGCGTCAGCCATGTAGTGCCCGGGAGAGACCTGGGTCGCGGAGAGACGTCTGGACGGCTTACTGCGAAGAGAAACATGTAAATTCTGATACATGTCATCAGGCACGAAGACACCGACACAATGGCAGTGCTCTACTTGCCCAGCTGCTTTTCGGTGGTGTGTTTCGCTTTCCTGCATGGAAAGTTTTCTTGCAGTATGGCTCACTTCTCCGAAAGGCCAAAGGTGATACCGGTATGGATAATAGGGTAGGGCCAGACCGGATCCACATTCGGATCCAGACCAGGTCCGGATCCACCACGGTATGCAATTTATTAACAGTAACGGCCGGAACCAAAGAGGGACACCTTGTACAACAGGCCTTACGGTATAGCTCCAGCTTGCGATGCTGAGCCCCCGCGGGACAACCAGCATCCTGCTTCCTTCAACTTCCAACTTCAAGCACCTTCCAACAGCAAGCAAGAGCGCGGGGAAAAAAAAGCGGCGAATCCACCGCTTGGATATCGCTGACCGGTCCACTGACCAGTACAGCGGCGTCTGGAGCACCAACGTCAGCCACTGACCAGTACAGCGGCGTCTGTAGCACCACCGCCAGCGGCTCGCTCTGCTGGACCCGCTTCTCCACCATCTCGCGACTCGACCGCCCGCCGGCGTGCTGTGACGTCATCGGCGAGCCGCCGCTGACGTCACTGTTCACGGTAGGCGGCGGCGTGGTGCTGTAGCCGCTAGCGGCCGGCGTCATCGTCAGAGGAGGGTACGGGGACGTCTTGCGGTCCCTGGCGGGTATCGGAGGCGTGTTAGTGCCGGCAGTGGCGGATTGGTGGGATGCCTGTCCTGGATACGGAGCGCTAGGTAAGACAGTCATGTGCGTATCAATCGCCAAAATCGAGGGATTTCCTGTGCTCTGCAAGTGATTCACATGGGGAATTTGGCCGAGACTTGAGGCGAGTATTGCTGTGTTTGTGTCTGTGTCCTGGCTTGCTAGGAAACTTTCGTTGAACGCAAATGGAAGGTAATGGGTACAAAAAGCGTAATATTGTGAAGCATAACAGGTACATTGATCACGCTTGGACAATGAATGCGTTCACTCGCTGGAAAGTGATTAATGTGGACCTAGAAAAGCTGCAGAGCTCGTACGTATAGCAAAAATTATGTTGTGTCTTTATCTTGCCGCTCTTACGTCGAGAATGTACTTCAAGGTAAGATGCATAACTGCGTTCAGCTGTTTTCACTTTCTGCAGAGGTAGCAGCAGAATACGCTTGAATTTTTGGTCATAAACTACATTCGCTGCGAGTGCGTCATAAGCTTTAACCTATTACCTGTTATTAGCTTTGAGCCATGAGCCAGTCATAAGCATTACACAGCGTTTCGCGTCGCATACGCTATGCGGAGAAGAGCATGAGCAACAAACGTCGGCTGAAGGTGGCAACATCAGACACTTCTCAACCACCGCTCCTGCGCCGCACCGTGCCTCCAACGCACCTCTGGCAGCTCTTGCAGCAGAGGATGCCGAGCGTCAGGGCCATGAGCAGGAAGATGGTGAGCGAGAGGCCGATGATGATGAACTTGAGGTTGGTGAAGAAGCCGCGACTCTCCTCGACCGCCGGCCACATCCCCGCCACGCGCACACCCTGGTCACCGCCTGAGGCCATCTCCGGGTCACCGCTGCCCAGTCGGCTGCAGGAAGAGGGACACGGCGCGTCAGGACCCCGTCGCGCGGGTAGACATTCTAAACGAGTAGACAGTCTACAGCCGGTAGATAGTCTACTTCTAATGGACAATCTACAGCTAGAAGATAGTCTCCACTAGAAGTCTACAGTTAGTAGACAGCCTACCGCTAGTAGATATTCTGCAGCTAGTGGATAGCCTGCAGTAGTAGAAAGTCTACCGCTGGTAGATAGTCTACAGAAAGCATAAATTTTACCCAAGTAGATGGTCTACATTAGTCAAAAGTATACACAAGTAGATAGTCTACTGTTAGAAGATATTCTAGATGTAGTAAATAGTTTACACTAGTGACTATAACCAACCTCCACAACCGCGATGCAATTGTGTGACGGCCGGAGAAGGCGAGCATAGATGCAAGTCATATCTTCGGCATCCCATCAGCCCCTTGCTTTATCTCTAGCGGCTGCATGAAGGGCTGCTGACCAAGTGGTCATTTGTGTAACACCGCAGCGGAGTACGAAGCTTTTACAGATAGGGCGTTGGCCTAGTGCAAGAGTAGATAGTCTACACCAGGAGATGGTCTACAGTTATCAGATAGTGTACCGCTAGTGGATAATCTAGAACTAGTAGATAGTCTACCGCTAGAAGATAGTCTGCAGCTAGTAAAAAGTCTGCACCAGTAGCTGCAGACTAGTCAACACTAATAGACAGTCTACAGCTAGTAGATAGTCGACAGCTATTAGAATGTTTATACAAGTAGGAAGTCTACGTTAGTACAAAGTCTACTCTAGTAGCTAGTCTACCGCTAGAACATAGTCTACAGCTAGTAAATAGTCTGCACTAATAGCTGTAGACTAGTCTATTCCTGAGAGCGGAAAATATGACGCATCTTTCCTTTGAGAAAACAATTTCGTTTTGTGTGTCTTTTGCAAAACAACACAATTTGATGCACGTGTGTGTGTACAATTCGTCTGCCTCCTAAGCTCACCCCACGTATCATATAGGTATCGTGGAAAAATTGTGAACACGCCTGTAGACACGTCGGCCACACGAAAGTCCGCTTCCGCTTCGTGTAATCATGTATATATATATATATATATATATATATATATATATATATATATATACATGGAATCATGTGACAGGCGGAGCAAGCAAATACAGATGCAAGTCATATCTCCAGCGTCTCCGTCGACCTTTGCTTTATCTCTAGCGACTGCGTAAATTGCTGTTTACCGAGCGGCGACCTGTGTAACACCGCAGCCGATCACAAAGTTTTTACATACGGGATGCTCACCTCGTGCGAGATGCAAAGAAGAATGGCCTTGAGCTTCTGGCCTTCGGCATCGTGAGTTCAGAGCTATCATGCTGATAGCACTCGACCTTTAGTATACAGGAGAGTGCAGTTTAAACTCCCAACTCATACCGTCCTGTGAAAGGTCTGCACTCATGCCAGAGACGTACGCGCGTGCGGATCTGTTCAGAGGTTCGCAAGCCAGTATTTACGCCGTGAGACGAGCATTCGCAGACCCCGTTCAGAAGGACGGAGATCAATACTCATGCCAAGAGGTGCTCATGCCATACGATATTCATGCAATAAGGTACTCATGTCATGATGGTACTCGTGCCATGAGAACCCACGCCACGTACTCACACCAAGAGGTGCTCATGCCAGGAGATACTCACGCCATGAGGCACGCACGCCATGAGAACCCGCGGATGTACTCACGCCATGAGGTCGCGGCTGCTCAGCAGGGTACGCGTGCGGGGGTCGAGCGCGTACAGCCAAACGTCCGAGTACCGCTCGTCCACCAGCTGACCATCCGAGTGAGGCGCCACGCGCAGGATCCGCACATCGCCGCCGGCCATCTCGCTCAAACCCCTGGGGCAGGGCGCAGGGGGGGGGGGGGAGGGTGATGATGGGATGGTTATGGTGTGGGGCGACCCAGGCAGACCGGGTGGTGGCTGATACGCGTAGAAAGATAGTTACATGCGCGCGCATTTTCCAAATATATTATATAACATATTTTGTATGTCTTTTGGTATAATAGCTTTTTCACCATTGGCGCTACAGTCGGAAGTGCAGATTCTAGCGCGCGAAACGAGCGAAAGTAAACCTGGTGTCAAGTTTCAAAATGGAGCTTCAAATCTAGTGCCAAAGTTGATGTTTTGCGGTGCGCTCGCCTTTGATGTCGACGCGCCACCTTGCCTCGAATCATTATAAGCATCATGTCAAGCTTGCTGTCGCCATTCCATAAGCTCATAAACGCAAGCAGTACACGAAGGCAAACTCGGTGTTCATCTTGTAACGTTTACCATGCGTGCAACGACGACGTCGTTGTTTGGGCGACAAACATCGACATCTATAGCAAGAGTACCAGCGTCATCTATATTAAGAGCACCAGCGTCATCTATAAAAAGAGCACCAGCGCCGGCGATGAAGCTCAGCCGGCGCCATCTGTACCTGGATATGACGTCACGATTTTGCCGAATATGTTCGGAAGTCTGGTTCAGCTTTGCTATCATCATGTCCCGGGAATCCAGCACGTATATCTGCAAATGACAAATCTGTGAAATATCTGCATACCTCAATATGCATTGCATACCTTTATATATATTGCGACTATTTGAAATGCAGCACACGTAACCACAGCACGCAGCTAACACTAAATGGGCGCTGTACAATGCTTACAACTGAGCATACTGATGACATCTAGGTTCGACAAAAGACATTTAAAATGGCCGCCAGTTGCGTACCTATCTTTATGTGCCGCGTGTATTCCCCCATAAACATAGCGGTCTCTTTGCCGACCGTACCAACGTAAAGCGATACCACTTGGCAAGGACGTCACGTTCTCCAGGGCAGCCAAGCAAGAGGCGCTGAATTTTTGTCTTGGCTGAGGATGCATGGCAACTTTCGGCTCCTCATAATGTTCCGGTTATTCATCGATGCATACAGCCGTTGAGGCTATTTACACACTGCAAGGCCGGTGGCAGCTCCATGGAAGGGAGACCGAGCCTCAAACCATCCATTCCAAGCCCGTCGTCTGAAATCCACCGGCCCCTTCGCCCCAGTCAGCAGCGCCTTCCATCTCCGGCACCGCAGACAGCAGCTCACCAGCCCCTTCACGCACTTCGCCACTGATGCTCCCGCTGCTCTTGCTACCCGAAAAGCAGAGGAGGCGGCTTACCAGAATCTTGGCGCGAGTGGTGTGGTTGGCCGTGTCTGTCGCGAGGATCTGGAGACGGTGGATCCTCTGCGCCGTGTCGTCCGCCCGACGCAGCAGCCACACCTGGTGCGCGGAGACAACGTGTGACGGCGAGAGACAAGGCGCGACGCGAAGGCAACTTGGTGTCATCCGCCCGACGCAGCAGCCACATCTGGTGCGCGGAAACAACGTGTGGCGGCGGAAGACAAGGCGCGACGTGGAGGCAATTTGTCGTGGAGAGACAACGTTTGATGGGAGACGGCTCGTAACAGGGACCGCACGTGAAGGGAAGGTCACGTGCAAGAAAAGGAGATGTGCGACGGAGAGGCCACGTGTGACGGTTTGGAGACTGACTGAGAACACGAACGAATGACTGAGATACAAATATGAGTGACAGGAGGACAATCTATGGCGGAAGGTGACGTCTGACGGGGGCGGGAGGACTACTGTAGTTGAGAGATAAGAAGACGGCATACTGAGATCACAGCGATGACCACGGCAGTAATACTGAGACCATATGCACAACGGCGACAGAAATACTGGGACCACAGGGGTGACTGATACTTGGCGAATGAAGATTAACTCAGCTGAGGAGACAACGCGTGGTTAAGGGACGGAGGGCGGCACACATAAATGACATAAGTGAGCTTTTGGCTTCGGGCATGCTTGCGCTATTCAGTCTCATAGGCATGCAGTGGAGTTGTACTCCTGGTTTCACTTTATGGTTAAAACCAGGACACGTGTTCAAATCCAAATTCCTTTTATCAGAGCTTTTCAAAGCCATGCTGGTGACCAATATTAATCCAATAATGCAAATAGTTTTGAATCAAGACCACAACACACCTAAGCTTACCTGCCCGTTTGTCGGGTCTATGCTGTACATGGCCCGTACATGTCGGTCCGTGGCGTTGAGCGAGTATGATATATTGTCGTTTTTGTCGCCATCGGTTGCCTGAGAAATTCAAGTCGGATTCAAGTCGGATTCAAGTCGGATTCAAGTCGGACTTGTTCAGCACGGATTCAAGTGGAACAGAGAAGATATCTACTGATAAGGGCATTTTGATATTATTCCGTAGTGTAATTCCTTGACGTAAGATACGCACCACATTTGTCATCGGAAGTTGTACCATTTTCAACAGGCATACAATAAGGAGTACAATAACCGCAGCGCATGATTCCACAAATTTTGATTTGATCCCAGCAACTAGCGAAGATTATTGTCAATCAGCCCGTGTACCTCGTTACTTATGAAGGCTCACACGAGTCCACAGTGTCAGCGTGGTTGCGTATGTAGGCAAGATGTACACACTAATACGGACATTATGTGACGCAGGTTTTTATCGCCCGAATACACCCGGTGCGAGGCACCACAAAATGAAACGCCAACTTCCCCTTCGATGTGTTCAAAAGCTAAAGGGAGTGTTCCACGTATGTATGGGGTTTTGAACTGGAACGGCGGAGTCACGTAACTTTCGAATCGCTCATATCTGGTGGTCGTGCGCACGACTTTCAGGTGTAACGACCGTCAATTGGCTCTCTGTTAATGTTGTGCAATGCACGATGACGACGGCGCAGTCAAATAATGACGTGTTGTGAAGCATGTTTGAGAATCAGAGAACTTGTGTTGTCTCAGGCAGTCTTTTCCAATTAAAAGTATGCCAATAGCTATAAGCGAGCTCATTTCATCATATCTGATGCTTGCTTCAAATCTTCAAACGTGGAACATTCTCTTTAAGCTTAATGAATGCCCGCATCTAAATCGAGCGATTACAAAAGGGGACGCCACCCCGATATGTCATCGCGGGCATGCGCACAATTCTGGTCAGCAGAACCCTACACATCCCCTGACCATCCCTTATTCACTCACCTCCATGTGCATGACTTCAAAGCCGTAACCAGCGTCGTAAGGCACGCCCACAATGGAGGGCAGGTCGGTGACATTGAACCGCGGCCAGTGATCGTTCACATCCACCACGACGATCTTGATCAGGGCCTGGTTATAGCGTAGCTCGTCCGCGCTCGATCCGCGGTCGGCGGAGTTCGGCGGCGCTCTGCGAGGCGACGGGGGCTGACCTTCAGCAGCCGGGGTCAAGTACGCGTCAGAGCTGGCCGGCAGCAGGTCTGTCGTTACCAGCAGCCACACCTCCCGCGTCTGCTCGTGGTCGAGCGGACCGCTCATTTCCAAGAAGGAATTGTTCGTGATGGCGACGGCGAGGCGACCGGGTTGTTTGGTGCCGTTGACCGGATTCACCGTCCATCGACGCTGCTGGCCGGAGGGGTCGAGCCGCCACGGCATCCAGATCTTGGCCGCTCGGGTGTTCTCCTCGACGTGGACCTCGTACAAGCGCCGGTCGAATGCTCGCGCCATTTCCACCTGGCTCCCTTCCGTGGCGGTTAGCTCCAACACGGCAAACGCGCGCTGGCTGGGCGAACCCAGGTCATAGGCCGCCAGGGTCAGGCGGAGAACGGTGCCAGCAGGCGAGGTCACATTACGCGCGGCCGTCACCGTGCCGGTCTCCGCGCCGATCACGAAGTCGTCGCTGGGCGTGAGGATCTTGAAGCGGACGGCGCTGTTGGTCGAGTCACTGTCAATGTCGTAGGCGGAGACGTTGGCAACGACAGTAGCTCGGACCAGCTCGGTCGGCGTGCGTATCTTGTACACCGCGTACGGCGCGTCCGGTTCGTTCTGGAGCCCGCGCGACGTCGTCACCACGTCGCTGACGCCCGTGAAGACGGGGCTGTTGTCGTTGAGGTCGCGGAGCAGCAGCGTGACATTTGCGGCGGCACAGGATCCGCGGCAGGCGTCCTGTACGCTTCCTTCCAGCGGTAAGCTCGATGCCAGGTCGATGCACAGCTGGCGGCACGCCAGGATCGGCACGCGTGCCACGGTGGAGCGCTCTGAGTCCACTTTCCCCGACAGGAAGATTCGGCCGTCCTGGGTGATCCGATAGGAGCTGTCGCCGCTGGGGATGCTGAAGAGCACGCGGTCGCTCTCCGGCGACGTCGTCAGTTGTACCGTTCCCACCTCGACGTCCGTGTATTCTCCCTCATCCATGGAGAATGTCAGGTTGTGCTTGACCAGCTCGGGCTGTTTGACAAGCACCACGTCTACCATGAGAATCAGCAGGTCCTTCCGCTTGCTGCCCTCCTGCGACTGGATTCTGAGGACGACCTGGCCGGCACTGCGCAGCGGCCTTACCACTCGCACCAGGTTTTTCTCGAAGTCGATAGCGAAGTGTCTGCCACCGCCGGCTTTACCAGCTTCACCACCGCCTGGCCACACCTCCGTCACATCTCCTCCATCTGTAGAGTTATCATCTCTCCCTGCAGGCAGAGGTTGCAGGGAGATGCTTTCTGGCAGACGAAACACCACAGAGCCGGTAGGAAGACCGGAAGGGATCCGTACCGTCGCGCGCAGCACGTCCGATGCATTAGCCCCTGGTGTCGACGTCAGCAGCTGTGCGAGGATCTGTGAGGACTCGGACAATGCCCTCGAGCGAAAGTCACGCCGGTCCGTAACGTTGTCTGCTCGGCGACCTCCTTCATCTGGTCGTGTCTCGTTTTCGTCGCGACCGTGAGTGGAAGCACTCGGATCCTCGACCGGAAGGTCGCTCTTCGAAGCGAGACCTACGCTGCGGATCGTTGTGCCAGTCGCCGACCCTTTCAGTGCGCCTGAGGCCGCTCGCGGGGTCAGCTCCGTGACCTCTTCTACATCCGGATTCCTCCGAGGTTCCCAGTCCTCGATGCGAACGGTCAAGGAGCTGTTAGATCGCAAGCCGTCCTCGTCCGTGACTTCCAGCTCGCACTCGAACACTTCCCGCTCAAACTGAGTCGCGACCACGCTCACCAGCGCCAGGGCGCTGACTTCGAACGCGCCCTCGCAGCCGGTCAGGCGGAACTCCAGCTCACTGCGCACCTCGTCCGCATCGCTGACCCTGATGGCCGGGGTCACGGTGGCCAGATCGCCAGCGGCGGCGTCGGCGGCCACGACGCCGGTGTAGTGCCGGCTGCTGAAGCGCGGTGCGTTGTCGTTGGCGTCTAATACGTTGACGGTGAGGGCGGCGGCACGCACGTGATGTTGCCGATGTCGTCGGTACTGTAGGACGACGGTGAATGAGAGCTGACGATGCTCCTGTGGGAAACGCCGGGTAGATTAAAGTTGCTGCAGTTGTTCGGCGCGGACTGTTCGTAAGTGTGAGTGGATTTCGCTGCCGACATGCTGGTCTGATACACCTGCAATTTGTTTCATGATATTGACTCATGTGTTTGCGCTAACCACGAGCTTGGACCGCACATTGGTGGCCCAGATGAAGGATGGATTAAAATGTGCTTCGAAGTAGAAGTATTTACCATTTAGTATATTTTGTTTTAAAAGTGCATTAACTGCAGCAGTTGTTTGCGCTCATGTTTGCGCTAACGAACTGCCAGGGTTTAATTACGGCTTAATTGAGATGTGACTAGAAAGTCATGCCTTTAACACTAGGACCTTATATGTTCTGTTTATAACGAAAAAGCATTCAGTGAGATTTGCTTATAAAACACCATTATTTTGGTACTTCTTGCTGTAATTTGAACGGGTTTAATATGAGTGACATCGACATGGACGAACAATGCAGCTGTGCGAATCTGACTGGCCCTTCTGAATGATTGTTATCTTTAAAGATATGTTAAAATGAAAAGACGGGAAACCGGCAAATGCAAACGGCACACCATGGCAAAACATATGGACAGTTGTCATTGACAGGTTCAGCTGGCCGACGAAACATTCAAACAGCAGACAAAAGCGATGGTATTTACACAGTGCACACTGACGAGTGCAGCCGGCGGTCGGCAGGAGTTTAAAACGGCGAACAATAGCAGCGGCATCAAATTTACGTACGCGCTGAAATGCTTACGTAAGAGTTTTAGGACTTATTTGTGAAGAAAAAACTAGTGAATTATAAAACACAGTATCGTGCCGCTTTTTGCAGCAATTCCTTTCATATCACGTACCTCAAAATCCAACGACTTTATCAGCCGAAGTTCTGCTTCGGAGGTTACTTGAAACGTGTCGTTTAGCGATGGATTCAAAATTTTTGCTTCCAAGAACTCTACAGGACGTTCATCTTCGTCAAGAAGCATGCCGACAGTGATGTTGCTGAGATTTTCCTGTAAACAGAGATAGATGAAGATCACAAGATCTATTACTGGTGTGATATCATGCAACTGGGAACTGATCGAAATTTATTTTTGTTTGCTTGACATTACTTATTTATGTTCGACTTTTATCAGCCAGTGAAGAATGCCTTTCGTAAAAGCATATGAGCTCAGGATATTGCTCCGCTGGCTTGGAATTCCTTCAGCATGCACAATTTACATGCAATAGTCAACCGAACAACCACGTGCATTGCCGTACCGTTACATTGAACGCTAGTGATGCGCTCTCGAATGATTCTTCCGCGTTTTCTGGTACGATTAAGATGTCGATAATAGATGTCGTTAGGTGCGTTCCGTCGGTAATGTCGATACCAAGGCTGTATTTGGATTGTTCTGTTTCATCCAATGGCGAAGAGACTCGAATAACCCCGGTGTCATTATCCACATCAAAGGGAACTGAAATAAAAGAATGCGCGAGTCTGCAACATTTCAGTTCAGCAAGCACCCTTCGCAACGGCAAATCGAGATGGCACAGCATTACACTCAATCCTATTCTCATAAATTTCTGCAACCGATGAGAGTAGATTGGCATGACGGCCAATTAACCTCACAGTGAATCACTCGACGTGGAACACGAATGCTCGCCTGTTATTATCGATCAGGGAATACATGCTGATGCCTCATGGCTATGAGATGAAATCCAAAAAGTTATTATACATATAAGCCGTCACATTTCCAGCTCCTCCACGAACTATGCAGAGTTTGAAAGGCCCTCTCATGGAGCAGTGGGCGTTTGGAATGAGAATGTGACAACTGACCTGTCCTAACCTGGCCTGAATGTGACAACTGACCTGTTGCATTTCTGAGTCGGAAGGTCAGATCATCTCCGTCGGGGTCTTCCACGATCAGCTGACCGACGCGTGACCCCGGGGTCACGTCCTTGCCCACCCACAGCCGCTGACCGGGTGGGACGCTGAAGCGGAAGTAGCAGCGTGCATGATTGGGTGTCAGGGGACACCGGATGGAGACTGACGTGAGCTGTCAGTTGGTCGTGTTGGTGAGGAGAAACGCACTCGCGCATAACGGCTGGAAATAGCCAGAGTTGCGACAAACATCAGCGAACCACGTAACACGGTTGATCTTTGCGAATTACTACGCACATGTCAAATGACCATGATGATTACAATCGGCTGAGCTCTTCTTGCTCCACAAAGCTGTACCGTCCTGCATTCTAAAATGGAAGCTGTGTTAACTCGTGCGCCGGAGTTACCTCTCATATGGCTAACTTTATAATACTTCACAAAGGCAGGCTGAAAATCAACAAAACATTGAGCTATAAGCAGGTCTGATCCCCCGCCCTGAGAGCTGAGCGTGAGTTTATGGTGCGATATCACCGGGCAAGCGTTTTCTGAAGTGAATGAGCCGAACTACATACTTTTGGTTCACCCTGTGATATGACGTTGTTTTAGTCTATGACAACCCACGTTCACACGGAATTTCATCTCATTTCGAACATAATTTGATCTTTGCAACGTGGTCCCGACTCAGCGGTGTCAGAAATTGTTTATGGCGGTGTCAGAAATTGTTTAAAAAACTCACAAAACAGAATGCATCGTCAAAAATATGTCTACCGTTCCGGCATGACCCTGGTTTACCTTGAAAATTGACCTGCTCTAAACCATGCAAGGTGTGAGTCCCCGGGCCTGGCTGGTAAGCCCTCTGATTTCATCAGGACCTGGACATCCGGTAACCTCAGCAGGGTTGAACCGTGAACGAACCACAGCTGACATCTTTGACGCAGTCAAGTTCACTGCATGGTCATCTCCTTCGCCCCGTGATTTGACCATCGCGTCCAACATGACCTGACGGTGAGATAGGTCAACCCGTGCAATTCCAAAGGTGACCCGTGAACTGGCCATAGCCGACCAATGACCCGACTGTTGTTGACCCGGTAACCTGAAAAGAGATTGCCACGCGGCCTCACCAGACGTTGCGTTACTGTGACCCTGTGTCCCCCTATCTACCCCACGGCCTCGCCTGAGTAAGCCGGTGATCTGACCCGAGCTGACCTGTAACCAAACATGGGTTAACCCGTGACCTGATCAGGTTTGACCCAGTATCCTGATCAGTGTTCTTCTCATAACCTTGCCAAAGGCCAAACGATCACTGCAGCATGACCTGACCTGAGCTGACCCGTGACCCGACCGCATTTGACTCATGACCCGAACGGCGTCCATCTTTCATCCCCACTAGAGGCAGTGTACTCTGTAACCCGATCAGTGAACATGTGGCGATTATGCATGTGAACTGCTCAGGTCACCCCGTGACCTGAGCTGGCCCATGACCTGACCTGGGTGGACGGACGTTTCTGACCCGCACCAGCACAGTCACCACAGCTAGCGCGCTGCGAGTCTCCCCGCGGGTGACCGGCGCGTCCTCCGCGCGCACGAACAGCACGTAGGAGCCGGCCTGCAGGGGGCGCCGCTGGCGCAGTTCCCCCGACGAGGAGGAGATGGAGAACGCCGGCTGGCCGCCCGTTAGCGTGTTGTTCTCGAATGAGAACGTCACGCGGCCGTTGACGCCCTCGTCGGGATCGGTGGCTTCCACCTGGTGATAGTGCGAGGCTTGGAATAAGGCGAGGGTCGCAATGTTGTGGTAACGTTATTTGCGTCGAAAGATGGAATCAGAATTGAAAGATAGAAATATCTGGAAAGAAGCACACGAATATGTTGAGTTTTAGAGAACCCTGCGACTTATTTGTGGCACCATATGTTCATGAAATCCAAGCTGTTTGATGAAGAAATTGCTCTCATGTGCTTCCGAATTACAGCATGGTACCTACACCAAATACACATTTTTCGTGATATATATATATATATATATATATATATATATATATATATATATATATATATATATATATATATATATATATGTATATATATATATATATATATATATATATATATATATATATATATATATATATGTATGTATATATAATGTATATATAAATGAAAAAAGTTGTATAATGTATATATATATATATATATATATACATATATATATATACACATATACATATATATATATATATATATATATATATATATATATATATATATATATGTGTGTGTGTGTATATATATCAGGATAAATTAGTTATATCATGATTTCAGACACCCACGTGTGCGTACATGAACACCAACATCTCGTGGAAGCATACCAAAAAAAAAAGTAAATCGTTCCAGGTAGTGGAATGATACCTGATTATTATCGCAATCCTGACAGACCATTAGCCGACATGTTTCACGCAGCAGCAAACGTTATGAATCAAAACCCTTCTGAAGCCCTTAAGCCACGTCTACATCGGGCTTATAGAATACGGTCTACCCTTTTCTTTAGGTACTGCTCCCTTTCGTGCGCATCAATTGCTTGTAACACCACGCAGCAACCACTTACCCGTCCAATAACCCTGCGAAGAGAGCTATTGCCATCCACGACAAACTGGTACGTGTTCGTTGGTAGGAACTTCGGGTTGTTGTCATTCGAATCCAACAGATTGATGATCACCTTTGTGAAAGACCTTGATTGCCTTCTGAAAGAGCGGCGCGGCAGAGCAACATCATTTGGCGTTCCAACAGAAGAGCAATTCCCCAGTGAATTAGAAGGCAAAATGACGTATCGAGACGAAATGGTGCAAAGAGGGAGGAAAGGAGAGAGGAAGCTTTAGATCAAAGCAGCGAAATACTTCGTTGCACAAAATGATGCCTTTTTTAGTTATCGGACCTAGCGCATCTTATGGTAAATGAAAACTTTCTGATCTTACCTCAACACACTCGGAGTTAGTTCGTCGGCGTAAATGTCCAATTTCAACTGCGACTGCTCCTCGCGGTCCAACTTGGACTGATCCGCCACCGTCAGCCATCCTGTTACCGGGTTGAGTCCAAATGCTCCCGAGGGGTCGTCCAGGCTATAGGTGAAGTTGGCGTTGTCCCCCTGAGGCCCAGAGGCACATGTGTGAGATATCGACCGACTGATCATTCTACCTTTGCAGAGCTCAAGTGCTTACACCTTTCCGCGAGAAGACATCCAGGTTCATACGCTGAGGCATTAGGTGGATATCGCTGCATTTACCAAAACCGTAGCTGCCTTCTGTTATCCTTCATCGCTGTTTTCCAATACACTGTTCCAGCATGCCAGTGATGATTTGCTTGGCCGGTAGGCTTCAAGGGCCATTTCAGCATCTTGATGCCTGCTCAACAATATCGAATCAAGCTGGTATGTTTGTAGCCGATGGTTCAAACTTGTGGCCCCGGCATAGTGGTGGCATATTGCTGTCGACTTGGCAGCACATGGCTCATGTTGTTGTCATGTATTACTTGGCCCACCGCCACACAGTTGCCGACTTTGTGACCATCAGAGGCCCGCCACCTCTTTTCCCTTGCTAGCATAGGTTGCCCATCACAACCGTCGGCTTACTTTCATCATTTTCCCACCACTACACTCCCACTGTATGCATTGGTTACGAATCACCAACCCTCTTTCACCGGCATCAGCTGGCATGCGGTCACCAACCTCACCTTGTCGGCGTCCGTGGCGCGGACCTGGACGATGCTGAAGCCCCGCAGCAGGTTCTCGATGATGCTGATGTTGTAGCGGTCCACGAGGAAGTCGGGCCGGTTGTCGTTGAGGTCAGTGACCGTCACCACCACGGTGGCGCGCGCTGACCTTGACCTGTCGTCCGTCTGCCACGCCTCGACCGTCAGCGTGACCTCGTCCTGAGGTCAGACGGGGCGTAGTGTCCAGTCGTGGCGCTGGGATTAGAGGTCAGCCGCTGTCGCGAGCGGCCGGCATTGTTCGCGGCTTCCGCGCCGACTTGACGCGCGCAAGCAGGGATATTCAACGCGCCAAGCGGTGATGTCAACGCGCCAAGAGGGGATGTCAACGCGCCAAGAGGGGATGTCAACGCGCCAAGCGGGGATGTCAACGCGCCCAGAGGGGACGTCAATGCGCCGCCGACGCTTCCCCGCGTTGATGAATTGCTCAAGCTGAGTAAAACGAGCCGCTGCCGGATACAGCTGGCGAATATCTGGGTCGGAAAAAGCGCAAGTTTTTGGGGTTCACGCAGGTGAAAACGAATCTTTAGGGTACACATACGTGAAAACGAGCTTCAACAAACCATTCGCACCAGATGAGCATTCTTGTCGAAAGTTGTTAAATATTGCCCACAAAGCTACTTACGTTTTCTAACTGCTCGCGGTCGAAAGTTTTCACCAGCGTCAGGGCGCCGGTGGCGGAGTCCATGCTGAAATGTTGCCCAGTGTTGCCAGATCGAATACGGTAGTTAAGCCGCTGGTCGATTGCCAGATCGCCGTCGTAGGCCAGGATTGGTGGCTCCGTGCGCAGAAGGAGCTGAAGGGATCTCATCTGAAAGATGTAATCTGTGATAAGGCCCAGTGCGAAAGAAAAGGTGAATATATGTTCGAAATAATATTGGCATAATATAATTTCGACCACATTACGATTTTACGTACTAGTCTTGTTGTCCATATGGCAATGCTTGTGCTTCATGCATTTTCCGTTTTTGATATTTTGTTATATTTGCCATTGTCACAATCACGAACACTACAGCGATTTTCAACAGCGTGCCTTACTCTTGCAAAGAAAAACATTGTGTGACTTCATATTTATTTTGCAGCCATTCATCAGTGAATGTGGTAACCAGCCTGTAAGGCGACACATTTTTATACAGACCTAGCGAGTACAATCAAGATGCATTTGCTATGGCACGAATACCTTCCTGTGGCTGACAATAGTGGAAAGTAGATTGTGACCAGTGTGCTTGGTAGATATGCTTATGATAGCATCTGAAATGTAAGTATATATTTTATATCTATAGAAGATATTGATATGGAAAATATAGATGAGCTTAAGTAGATCTAAGCATATCTACCAAGATAGATGGCAGCAGTGCACATTAACTCGAGATGTCCACGATGGATTGCAGTTGCATACTGACCAGGTTGCTGAAGCCATCGGTAGATGGCAGCAGTGTGTACCGACCTGGGGGCCGGGATACTCGGTGACGCTGGCCCGGTAGATGGCAGCGGTGAAAAGGGGCGGCTGGTCGTCACCGTCCTTGACTGAGATCGTCAGCTGAGCCCGGCTTAGACGGGCCGGGGCGCCGCGGTCCTGTAAAAGTGCAACAGTGTAAAAGTGTTTGGATTTCTGTAAGAGTTAGTGTGGGAAAGTCGCGCTTATTTCTGCAATAGGACGGGAAAGTCGCGCTTATTTTTGTAAGAGTTAGGGCGGTAAAGTCGCGCTTAGGAACGCAAGGCGCGAGCTATATGGTAAATTGATTGATGTTAGACGATTTAGAACGGTTTTTCAGCGGTTATTTGCGCCAACCTCACATTTTACGTTGCAAAATTTAGTGCATGGCGAACATTCTGAAAGAAAAATCGCACTGGCGCTTACGTTGGAATCCAGCCGCGTCAAAAAATATTAAAAACGACATTGTTGGCGGGGTGTTGGTCATTATTCGTATTATGTACCAACCCATAAGCAAAGCTAAATCCGATCTTCGACACGCTCTTTTCTGCAGGCAGCATAGAAGAAGAAGAAGAAGAACAGCAAAAAAGTCATAGCAAGCAATGCGATCTTTATGGAAAGCTCCCCTTCGCGCGTTGGGTCATGGCTCGGTGAGTAATCACCCAACTACCATGTGGCAAACACGGCTGCCATATCGTAACGTCATCGTTTGAGAGTCGGCCATACCCCGAAGAAAAACCACCGTCACCTTGTGGCACTTTGCGAATTGCCAGTGCACGGTGTGAGCTCGAGAGATGTGAGATGTGAGCAAAGCAAACGTGCTTTGCTCAAACGCCAACGTCGTCAAACGTCATACCTCACAATCCAAGTCGTCACACGATATCGGTCTTTAGCAGCTGGGGGCTTACCACAGCGTGATGTGACTTTTTGAAACGGGCAGCGTTCGTTTTCAGAATTGCAGCCAACCATATATAAGGCAATCTGATGACGTCACGCGTGACACTGCATGCACTACTGCAGGATGCGTGAATCGTTACCTCAGTATGAATGAGAATACGTCGCAGGAGAAGGGAGTGAAGAGAAACACGCGTTCTGACGTTTACAGCTGTCTGCACAGCCTGATATCGACGCATGAATGCCTGGTTACAGTCGCGCCATGTTAAGTATCACGCCTCGTCGTGGCCAGAGACGGTCCGCAGTAATTTACAGTGCTGTGCTGTACAAGTGGTACCTGGCAACTGCGCCCTTATTGGAAACACAGCTTGAATTACATGGAACCATTTGCTTTCTCGCTACGTCAAATGGCCCATGCCAAGCGATCGACTTTGGTCGATGGATGCATGACGTTCAGATTCGACACAGACCCACGCACAATAGCGCTCGACGTGCGAAACTAAAGCCCCTTTTGAAAATCATGTCCAGTTTGAGGTGACATCAGCCGTCTTCTTCTGGAATCTGTCACATCTTACCGAAGCTGTGATGGTTAAATTCATTTCCCTGTCGCCGTTCTCAAAGTCGAACGGTTTCTCGAGTACGACTGCAGCGCCGCCTCGGGGTAGCGGCGACAAGCTGAACTTCAGATTCTCGTTGCCGTTCGATATCCAGTAGTAGATGTCGCTGTTAGCGGTGTTGGCCTTGTCCTTGTCCTTTGCCATGATGCCGTCGTAAATCACCATTCCTGTGCGACGAAAAGGCAAGAGATTGTCTTGTCACGTATAGTCGTCATTTAGAGTCTCGTAAATACCCAAATTCCTTTATGTTAGAATGATATGTCCAATACGGCCCAGCCATAAACACTTCAAGGAGCAACCCAGTGACCAAACAAGAAGCAGAATATCTCGCAGATTCAGATACGGCTTTTCACAGAACGCAGCACAGGACCGTCAGAGTTCTGATGATCACACTGAATGTATGAAATCTTCAGAGCTCTAATTTTTCCGAATGCATAAAACGTTTCCAAGGATTTTAAAAGGTAACCACGTGAAATAGCATCGACAGTCATGCCACAACCACATAACACGTGTCCCGGTCATCTGGCCCTGGCTTTTGCGCGTGAGCTCCTCCACAGTGGTCTCGTTCGGACGTGATCTCGTCCAAAGAAGCCTGGTAGACGTGACTGATTTTTGGGCGTACGCTCGTTCACGGTAACCCAGTACGCGTCACTGAACTTGTGACGCGATCTTGTCCAGAGGAATGGGTACGGGATACTGACCTTTTGGGGAGATCTTGTCTAAGGAAATGGGTACGGGCTACTGACCTTTTGGCGCGATCTTATCTAAAAGAATGGGTACGGGCTATTCACATTTTGGGGCAATCTTGTCTAAAAGAATGGGTACGAGCAATCTTTAAGGGGAGAGCTCGTTTTCAGGAACTGCTACGGACAACTGACCTTTTGGGGTGAGTTCGTCTACAGTGACCTGGTATGGGTCACCGACGAACACCGGGGGATGGTCATTGACGTCTTCGATGTAGAGTGTGACCAGCAGCGAGTCCGAGCCCTGCAAGCAGAGTGGGGACGTGATGAGTAGGGGTAAAGCGGTCGCAGTGCCTACTTCGTGGTTGATAGATCCTAGATAGGTTTCCGTCCAAGCAAACTATTACTACTTGCTATTACTAAATTACTACTACTTACTGCGCTGAATTTCGCAAAACCGTGGGGCGCTAATGGCATGGCCGTCACGCGCATCGATGAGTAAACCATCTTGCTTTCCGCATGTATTCTTTAATGTGCAGCAAACCGTAGTGTCTGCTCGCACAGACCGCAACTTTCGGTGCCAAAAATACATTGACGAGTGCTTTTGAGGTGGATAAGAAGTTGTAAAGGCCGCACACCCCTTTCGGAACAGTTGTCTCAGATCTTCAGTGGACGTTTGACACCTGATGACAGCATATTGTTTTTTAATTCGCCATTAGAGAGCATGCATGCATTATGCAGCAGCTCGAGCAAGCGGGTGATCGGAACGAATGCGCCCGAAGCATGCAGATATTCAGCTGCATCTGCGTTTGACGTGAGCTGGAACCTGATTATTATCCAACCAAACTGTCTTCGAGAAACGCACGCCACGGCCAGATTCCTATCATTTGCACTGCACAGGCGTCTCGCAATAGCACAGAGGAAAACACTGCAAGGAAAAACAAGCACCAAAAAGCATTGCAAATACATCGGAGTAAACGTGTTCTATGTGCAGGCACGTAGTATTCCTTCTGCCGCAATTCATGTTGGCTGATGTTTTTTTTACCAAGCACATGGGTTTCACAAGTTTTGTCTTAACTCACGGTTCTGCAGTTGAGTCTTTGACGTTTCAAGGAGTACTGGCTGTTGCGTCACATCACCTGATAACTTTCGAACGGCCGTGTAAGGTTATCAAGCCACAAATTGCACGGATCAACATGCGCGCGTCGCCGAGCCTGCACCGCAGCGCGTGCCATTCTTCAGACCGCATGGTCACGCCCATACACGGCAAAATCTTCATTTTTGCTTGTCGTTGTCATGCGTTCCGTCTATCGCGTCTTCTGTCTCGAAAGCTCCTTCACTGGCTTGTGCCGAGGTAATGTCAGGGAGGTATTTCTGTCATTGCGGTGACACTGCTAAGTTGATTGCTCAAACTGGTTAAGGATCTGCATAAATCGCACATGTTCACTAGATGTGTTGTGCATAGGTCGCACATGGTTACTTGATGTATTGTTATACGCACTGTCATCGACTTTTGGAACGGAGCCTTGCCGGACCAGTGATCGTCACGAAATCCACCCTGACAAGATAGGCGCATTGATTGACCTTTTTAACATCTTAACGATGTCTGCACGGCTACCACATTTAGCGAGTGCTGAGTGCCCCTTTACAAGCAACCCGGTCATAGCCTGTATAAATTTGCAAGGGTGTTTAAACAGCATATGTGTTAAGAAAGAATGCAGAAATTGAGACCTAAGAAACTGAGGAACTAATCCAAAAGCACAGAGGTAAAAATAAAAATTAAAGTGAGAACTGTAGCGGTGACTTGTTGAGTTCTTAAGCTCACTTATAACGTTGTCAGGGTAGGTCAGCATTAACAATTCTGAGTAACGAGGCAGAAGTCACGCCTTTTCGAAGCCGGCACTTTCCAACAACACAACAGTCCCAAGTCGAAGAATCGCAACATAACACGCTGAACCAGATTCACGACGAAAGAGGATTATGACCGCTCTTAGGCTGCAGGTCAGCGGATGTTAATGACCTTGTTTGTCTCCAAAATGGTCCTTGGCCTATTTGACATGACCACCGTGCCTCAGGATTATCATTGGTTACCTGTCCCATGCTCCGGGTGACCATTTGTCGCCCCTGAACCGACATTTCAAATCAAGGTGGCCCCAAAAGCCTACCGAAATAACTTTGAAACATTTATAATAAATCATGAGTATTTCAACGGTTGACCTTCACGAGGACCATTCCTAGGAAAAGACATGCACAACGAATGCATGATCCAATTGGTCAAATGGCACGGTACTGTCTTCAGCCTTATATTTTGTTTCGGGGTCCCAGGCGTGCCCCTGGGCTCACATGCCCGTCCCCCCCCTCTTTCGATGACATGGTTCTTCAAAACATCACGGCATGCTTTTAATCTCAGCATCAGCCTTCCACCCTGGCGATGTTTATGTTTTACTTATCCCTCTCTGTGTCCCCAACTCATGCCTCCGCTGTTTATCAGTGCTTGCCTATGCCCCTGTGAGTATCAGACTGCCCTCGTTCTCCCAGCCCCTGCTGCGCTTGCCCCATCCCATGCCCTGCTCGCACTTGCCCCTGTCCCCATCCGTCTATTCCCTTGTCTATCCATGTCCCTGCCTATCCCCGTTAAGCCTGTTTGAATCGTGTCTCCGCTCTGCCTGTCCCTGTTCCCAGACGCCAGTGTCATGTCCATGTCAGTCCCTGTCCCTGCCCATTCGCGTCCCTGTATGCTCCTAGCCTTTCGTTGTTTGACCCGGCTTATCTCTGCCTTGCCAGTCACTACCACCCTTTGCACGCACCAGTCACCGATCCCTTCGCACCCGTGCCCTGCCCTGCCCTGCCCTGCCCTGCCCTGTCCTGTCCTGCCCTGCCCTGCCCTGTTTTGCTCTGCCCTGCCCTGCCCTGCCCTGCCCTGCCCTGTCCTGCCCTGCCCTGCCCTGCCCTGCCCTGCCCTGCCCTGCCCTGCCCTGCCCTGCCCTGCCCTGCCCTGCCCTGCCCCTGACCCTGGTAGTCTCCGGTCGCGGCGCGTCCCGTCGTGACGGTGCCCTCGCGCGGCCGTCACGGCCGTGGCCCGCAGCGTCACGTCGGACCATCACGTGCGGCACTCGCCGTGGGCGAGGTTACGTGCGCACGGGGTGACGCCCCCGAGTTGTGCCGGGCTCGGAGAGGACTGGGCGGCGGTCGGGAGATGGGCCAAGGAAAGAGAGGCGGGGTTTGAGGACCATTAGGGGATGCATGCTGCATGAGTGCGTACATGCTTAGGTGTATGTGAGTGTGTATGATTGACTATAGTGTATAAAGTGAGTGTGTATGGGAGACTTTAGTGCATATGATGAGTGAATATAAGTGAATAAGGTATACATAGTGAGTGTATATGAGTGAGTACAGTGCACATAGGTATTGTATATGGGTGGCTATAGTGCATATAGTGAGTGTGTATGAGAGTTCGCGGGATTTTTCAGTTATTACGCATGGTGAACGTGGTTCGAGGGAAACGCGGGTTTCAAGCAAAACCTAAAGCTCCAGTGAGTATTCCTTGCTTTGCACAATTGGAGTTGGTTGTGCTCGCCTGAGTAATGAAACATCAAATGCTACTTTCGCTACTCAATCTCATTGATCATGCTGAGGCGCGTTTTGTGCGCCACAGCTATTGGTGACGAGTGCGCTGGTCTTGATATTGCCAAAGCGTTTGACTGGCGGACGTGAATGCCCACAATTGCATCAATTGGTCAAATGACACGCATGGTCGCACTAACCACGGACGTACTGCAAATAAACTGCAAATGGGTGAAACTTTCGGTAAAACCTATGGATTGTTGAAATCGTTCAAAAGCGTTCAAAGAACCGGTCTCAACAAAAAAACTTTCAAATGTTTGTACACCCCACAGGAAGACCAAGCTGAAATTCCAAGAGGAACCTTTGTAACCTCAACACCTGCCGGATAACGAATATGTAGACCTTTAAGCATTTGGCATTTTTGGCCCTTTCGATAGGCAAATCAACACTTCTACTTAATCTCATAGTGCTGTTGCAGTTGCGGCACAGTTGCAGCACAATGGCGTTACCGGCTCTCATTTTTAGGATACTTCTAGGTAATGCTCGCTTACCAAGTGGCCAGTGTTTAACTTTGCCTTTTAAGGAAATCAGAGCTTTTTGAAATTATGACAGCGAAAGCAGTGAAGACGTGACAAAACTATGTGGCACGGGACGCCTGACAACGACTGGCAACAGCTACAGATGTCATGTGAATGATGTGAACTGTGAGGCGGCGCCTTTGAAGAGGCGGCGCCTATTCCCCGTATGAAGCTCCCAAATATTTTATTTCGGTGTGCTCAAACCTTTCAAATATTACAAAGAGCATGTGCTTAGTATTATGCATGACGAAACGAGTTCAAGAGCAGGCAATGTTGCGTGATATCAGCCGACAGTAACTATACGCGCCGTGAGCATGACACCCCTGGTTCAGTGAACTACAGGTGGCGTGAGGCTGCATGAGGACACGAACGGCGTTGCTTATTATCTCACAAAACATTCGTCGAATATGGAAGCGCACTTTGAGGGCGTGGCCTACGGAAACCATTTACGTCTTCAGCGTCTCTCATCGCTAAATTACCGTGTCAGCGCATGTCATAAGCATCCAAATTCGCCTGCCCTCTGAAAAGAGCGGCGGCAACAAAAGGCCTTCGACAAACAATCCCCGACCAGTCTCACATCGCCGGTGTCGCAGAACACAGCAGGTCTTTAACGTCTCCCGACCCCAGTCATCGGACACCGAGGGAGACCCGTGACAGCCACGCGCCGGAACCGCTGTCGCTGTTCAAACCAGCGGACCGAAGGAGTGCCGCAGGGGCCTGTCGTAGGGCCGCACCGATTTTCCGTCACGGCGAGGCGTGCGTCCAATGTTTGCGGACGGGCTGTGCTCATGCAGCTGGGTGTGATAGGGAAAATGATGAGTCCTTCTTCTAGGTCTTTGGCTTTGGGACTAGAGTGAAATTATAACTGCTAGTGCCATTTGTATGCCTTTTCTTTGAGATGATTTGCAAAGATAGAACAGAATCAAGTTAATCCATACCCCTGGTGCTGCATGGAATTAGCCTCAGCTTCTGGTGGATGACACCATGGGGTCATCGATTGTGCATTAATAGGGGGTATAACTTAGAAAAGGGGAAATGATCTTCATGCTACAATAATTATATGGTAAAGGCTTCTTCAGATAATTTAGCCGACGGTCCTGAATTAGTTGTGGGGAAAAAGGGTAATGCATTGGCCACGCGCTCCCCCCCCCCCCCTCTCTCT